TCTCCCTCCTACCACTGCCCCCCCCCACTGACACCTCCCCTCCCCACCTTCCTTCCTCCTTCGCTCCCCTCTCCACAGACACCTTCCTCTCTCCCCCTCTCTCCCTCCCTACCACTGCCCCCCATCTTCTCCTTCCTACTCTCTCCCTCCCCCACAGACGCCTCCCTCCCTCCCTCCTTCTCCACCCCCACCCCCCCCCACTGACACCTCCCCCTCCCCCCTACTCGCGACATTATTGAACAACATGGCTTCATACTTGAGTTCATCTGGATGTTCTCTTTCAAAGATGAACATGCACATATCCGCCACACCTGTTCTCCACCCTGGGGCTCTCTATTGCACCCTTTTTATCAGTAATTCTCTCTCTCTCTATCTTAATTATTTTCTCGTGTTCCCGTTTTTTATCTTTCTTTTGTTACTGCGGAGTATCTTGCATACAAAGGATCACTTTTTTTCTAGTTTGAATTATCGGTATCATTACAAGCATTTTTGGGGTGTCTTTTTTTTCTCTCTTTTATTCTTTATTTGGTTTTCTTTTTCTCATTGCCATTCTGTTATCGTCATTGTTTATGTTGGTTATTTCCCCCGTATGTCTTTCGGATTTCAACTCTCCGTGTTGATAATATATCTTTTCTTTTTTTTTTTTGTCTTTTCCTTCTTGAAATCCGCATCCTTTAATATCCAAGAAGTACATGCAATTCTTACTCAACATGGAGTGTAATCTCTGAGCAAAATAATCTGGAAAATGAAAATAAATCTTCCTTTTTTACCATAAAGCAACTCGGTTATGATTTACTGAAAATAGACTCCGGGGTTATCTTCACCGCACGCCACCCTCGCTGTGATTGGTCCGTTTCAAGAAGGGGCGGGGTCTCATATCGATCTGTGTTCTGATTGGTCATCGGTTTATTGCAATTATGTAGGTAGGAATTCCATCTTTTTTTCCGTGAATCCTTTTTCATTTTGGCGATTTTTTTTCTTCTGTCCTTTGAGAAATGCATTCCTTAATTATTATCCTTTGTTTACAGATATTCTCCAGTTTATTTCAGATTCGCGGATTAGCATACGAGGAGGAGAAAAGAGAAAAACGTTTTAGGTTACGGGATGTTTTTATTTATTCTCTAAACATAAAAAAATCGTTAGTATCAACTATAATTAGATTGTGAAAAAAATGAATCAACTGGCAACTTTAATCAATCAAGATGTACATATATTTCATTGTGCAACGAACTATATTATATACAGGTTTTATTCACTGGTCAATAAAAAGGATATTAACACGGCGAAAACACATACAAAAAACTCACCAAATTGTCATAAACAAGAAAAAACAGAACAAAATAGATTCTGAGAAATCTTACATAATTCTGTAATCATTTGCAAGAAAAAAGTTTTCAGTCATTCCTGTATTCTTCCTGACCCTTTTAAATCCTCATTAAAATATGTTCCTGTCATCAATTTCCGCTGTCATGTGTCATGGTTACTGTCATGAGTTACTGGCTGAAAATCATGAACATTAAATCATGAAATTCCAAGATTTGAATACACACTTCTTCTTATCTTTTTTCTTCTTCTTCTTCTTCTCCTTCTTCTGTACATTCCTACTCCTCTTCTTTATTTTTCCTTCCCTACCTCCTCTACCTCCTTCTTCAACACACATTGGAAGATGAGACGAAAGGAAACAACAATAATAAGTTGAAAATTCACCCCATGAAAAATCTACGGCACTTGTACTAAGGTTTAAGTACAAAGACAAAATCGGTTTAAATACACGACCGGCTTAATGAATATCTATTTTCCGGATATACAAATACACAAAAAATAGATGCACATCCATCAGTCTAGACGTGCACATCTACCGTATAGATAGATAGATAAATGTGTATATGTATCTGATAGATAGATATGCAATTTACTTCGTAGTGTATGTGGATGTCTTTATATACGAATATTCATTAGGTCGGGCCTCGCACAATCCTAATAAACCGACCGATTAATTAGTTGCAATTAACCGAATTCATGTCGACAGACGTAAAAAAAAGATATGAATGAGAATGAATATCTTATCTCTCTTGTATTGTGAAGATATTCATTCTCATTCATATTTTTTTTTTCATTAAGAATGTTTTATTTCCCGACTAGGATTTTGGAATGTATGTGAAAGAGGGGGAATATTTTTAAGTGTTTATATAAAAAAAAATATATTCACAGACCTGCAACCCTAATGCGACAGACTTGAAAATTGATAGTAATGATAATAATGATCATAATAATTAAAGTAATCATGATAGTAATAATATTGATGATGAAAGTAATAATGGTAATATTGATTATTATATTGATTAAAATAACATTGATAATGATAATAATAACACTAAAAAGAATAATCGCAATGGTAGCGATAATAACAATAATAGTAATAAAATGATAATAATAATAACGATAAAGATAATAATTAATATTAATATTATTATCATCATCATTATTATAAAGATAATAATAATGATGATAACAACAACAATGATAATAGTAAGAGTAATAATAATAATGATAATAATAATTACAGCAACAACAGTAATAATAATAATAACAATAATAATAATAATGATAATAATAATGATAACGATAATGACCATAATCATGATAATGAAAATAATAATAATAAACGGAAGAAGAAGAAAAAGAAAATAAAAAAGAAGAAGAAGAATGATAATAATGATAAGAGGAAAATTATAATTATAATAATAATGACAATTATAATAATGATGATAATAAAGATAATGATAATGAAATAGCAATAATAATGATAATATAATAATAATGTAATAATATAATAATAATAATAATAATAATATAATGATAATAATAATAATAATAATAATATAATAATGATAATAATAATAATGATAATGATAATGATGATAATAATATAATAATAATAATAATAATAATAATAATAATAATAATAATAATAATGATAATAATTGATAATCATAATGATAACAGTAATGAGAAAATCCATCTCTTTATTCCTCTTTCTTCTTCTCTTCTGTGCCTCACTTTCTCCAAAATATCTCGCCGTTCGGAACAACTTGAAAACATTTTCCCCGAACTTAGAAAACCAACTTAGAGGGACATTCAGAAAGTACAGGTGACCGGGAGAACGGGGAGGGGGGATGGGGATGGGGAGGGGAGGGAGAGGAGGGGGAGGGGAAGGGACACGTGAACCCCCACCCCCCTCCCTCCCCTCTCCTCCCTCCCCCCCACCCTATAGGCAAAAAGCTTGGGTACATATGGAAGCCATGAGTATTATGCTATGGATAGTAAGTATAAACGGAACCAACTTACATTAAGCTATAGTTACAGTCGCATTTTTTCGATTTTATAGGGTCGTTTATGTGTACCCTATCACTGGTTCAATTATCGTATGTTGAGTAACTTTTTCTTCAAGAGATTCACCAGCTGTGTGAATCGTTGAAAAGCTTTTTTTTTTCTCTTTCTTTTTTCTTTTATTTAGTTTCTTTCTTTGTTTGTTTTTTATCATCATGTTTCAAGGGATTTGTATATATATAAAAAGGTTCATTCATGCGAATTTTGGTGTGAACGGAAAATCAAGTTTCTTTTTTTTTTACCGCGAACTTGGAAGAAAATGATGATAATAATTTTCATAGATAAACTTGTCTCGAAATTTCTAAAACGTCCGTAAGTGAAGAAATGAAGAGACAGTTAACCATTTTTTTTTTTTTCGTTCTGTCTTATAATTCTTTGTATATATAATTTGCTAATTTATCAACAAAATACTACAACTCCAGAAAAAAACAACCTAATTTATCTTTTTTTTTTCATTTTTTATCATGATTTCATAGCACCGACTTCATAAAAAAAAACATTTTTCTCAACTTGTGCTCAAGGAAGTAAAGTATGAAGTCATTATTACCTAATTGTGAACTGCACACACTCTTCGTCCTTTTCTGCAAAGTCACGCTTTTCCTACCTTCGCACATCTTCACATCACATCGTCAAGTTATAGACTCACATCACTTTAATTCACTGAGAATCCACACGAGTATTTTCGAAATCACTTCCTTCAAGAACTTTTTTTTTTCAGTTGTTTGTTTTTTTTTTCACTTGTTTGTTTCTTTGTTTGTTCGTCACGACCTTCAGCACCACTTCCCATCAGTTGTTTGTTTCTTTGTTTGTTCGTCACGACCTTCAGCACCACTTCCCATCACACGACCTTCAGCACCACTTCCCATCAGTTGTTTGTTTCTTTGTTTGTTCATCACCTTCCCCAGGGCCCAGAATCTCGAACCATGAAAGGAGAAAAGTACTTGTTCTATTAGTACATACACTGTACTTCATAAGACGAGTAGTTACACCTCTTCAGATTTGGGCATATCACTCCGCGTGCCAGGTCTCGGGTATATTTCCATATATCTAGTTTATATCTCATTTTTTTCAGATATACGAAGGTAATATATTTTCTTTTTTAGTTTATATCTCTTTTTTCAGATATACGAAGGTAATATATTTTCTTTTTTTAGTTTATATCTCATTTTTTCAGATATACGAAGGTAATATATTTCTTTCTAGTTTATATATGTTTTTTTCAGATATACGAAGGTACTATATATATTTTTTCAAGTATGAGAAGGTACATATGTCGATACTGGACTTGGGAACGTCAAGAACCATCTTGAACCTTCCCTGTCCCTGGAAGATCCGTCTGAAAACCTCTCCGGGCCAGAAAAAAAAACTCTAGAACCTTCTCCGTGCTAAGAAGAACCTTCCAGAACCTTCTCCGTGCCAAGATGAACCTTCTAGAACCTTCTCCGTGCCAAGAAGAACCGTCGAGAACCTCTAGAAATTTCGTGCCAGAAGCACTTCCACAACCTTTTCTGTATCAGAAGAACCATCTAGAACCTTCTCCGTACTAGGAAGAAGCGTCTAGAACCTTCTTCGTGCCAAGAGGAACCTCTAGAACCTTCTCAGCGCTCCTAGCCAAGAAGAATCGTTTAGAAGCCTCTCTGGGCTAAGTTGAACATTATAGAACATTCTCCATGCCTAGAGGAGTCTCTTGAACATTCTCCGGCCCGAGAAGAAGCATCTAGAATCTTTTTCCTGCCAAGAAGAACCTCTAGAACCTTCTCCTGCCAAGAATCGTCTATAAACTTCTTGGTTTCAAGAGAAACTGTGTCAGGAAGAATCGCCTAGAGCATCCTCTGTGCCAAGAAGAACTTCTAGAACCTTCTGTGTGCCAAGAAGAACCACCTAGAACCTTTTCCGGGCCAGGAAGAACTTCTAGAACCTTCTCCGTGCCAGGAAGAACTTCTAGAACCTTCTTCGTGCCAGGAAGAACCTTCTAGAACCAGTACAGATCCTTGCTCGCTTCTTGGGTCGCTCCGGTGCCTTCCAGACCTGCAAGAACAAGAATAATTTATTTGCATATTAGAGTGTCATATAAAGTACAGTATGCTGATGCTACAGATGGTAGATGATAGGACGAAATTCTCTTAATAAAATAAAAGAAAAAAATGATAATAAAAAGACAAAAACTAAGAGAAAAAGAAAATGGCGAATGAGCAATGATCAGATTATTGACCTGGACGAAGACACACGATCCCAGAAGTGTCGAGTCATCCCGTAAAATGAGTAAGGTCTCGCGTTTCCAAGTGACTCCCGTGTTCCGCACTTCATGAGTCGGTGCCAATTTTATTCGCTTGGAGATGTTGCGTAAACATGGCGACTCTTGGAGGTAAGATTAAATTGCGGGCTCGATGACTCTTGTACGAGGAATCGGTGTCTCTCTTGTACAAGATGGTGTTTCTTGTACAAGGAGTCGATGTCGTTTGTACAAGAAAGTAATCTCTCTTGTACAAGGAATCGATGTCTCTTGCATAAAGAAATTGATGGCTCTTGTACAAGAATTCGGTGTCTCTTGTACAAAAAAATAATCTCTTGTACAAGGAATCGATGTATCTTGTATAAAGAAATTTATTTCTCTTGTATAAAAATTCGGTATCTCTTGTACAAGAAATTGATCTCTCTTGTACAAGGAATCGGTCTCTTATATAAAGAAATTGATCTCTCTTGTACAAGAATTCGGTATCTCTTGTACAAGAAATCAATCTCTCTTGTACAAAAAAATCGATGTCCTTTGTACAAAAAAGCAAATCTTGAATAAAGATTCGAATTCATTGCTTCGAATTTCTCGGTCGTTCACGATAGAAGCCTTCACGATAGGATCTGCCGTTCCGAATAAATTTGAAGACAAAAGAAAATTACGACCACGAAGCACGCAGCTCATTACTTTGATAAAATCTAGAGGAATAATAATCCACTTCCTCTTACACATAAAAATGATTGGCTGGTCTTGGCGGATTCTTCAGTTTTCGGAGATCAATCTTAAGGGTTTTTTTTCGATAAGTTGTCGTCGGATTGTGGGTCTTCCCGTTTTCTCGGCGGTAGAGAGAGAAGGAAGAGGAAGGATGAACGAGGTGGATAGCGGGAAAGAAAAAAGAGGCAAACGGTACTTGAAGGAAGTGGATAGCGGAGAAGAGATAATTGGTGGATAGATGAAGTGGATAGCGGAGAAGAGAATAAGTGGATAGCGGAGAAGAGAATAGGTGGATAGATGAAGTGGATAACAGAGAAGGATAATAGGCGGATAGATGACGTGGATAGCGAAGAAGAGAATAAGTGGGTAGCGGAGGAGAGAAAGAGGCAATACAGTGCTAAAAGAAATGGATAGAAAGAAATAAAATATGAAATAGGGAGAATAAATATAGTAATGGAAAAGAAAACTAAATAAACCGGATAAAAGAGAAAAAAAATATTAAATAATCAACTTGCCGTTGGTCGAAAATACATAAACATTAAGGAACATTAAGACAGAAGAACAGTTAGCAAAATTGACACATTGACAGGGAGAAAATATATTTTTCTCCTGTCCTCACTGTCATGGGGCTGTCAACTGACCGACACGGGATGACTCCAACGTGTCACACGCTAAGATCATGTCAACTGCGCAGGAGAAGACAATTGACATGATAAGATAAGGAAAGAGAGAAATTAAGATGATGATTTCTCTTCTGACAATAAAGTTCCAGATAAAAGGAAGGAAAAGATTGAAAAAAAAGAAAATAAAACAGATAAAATCGAAACAAATAGACGATCTCCATTCTGTAATTCGAGATAATGAGAGTCGATAAGAAGCCAAATTAGGAAGAGAGAGAGAGAGAGAGAGAGAGAGAGAGAGAGAGAGAGAGAGAGAGAGAAGAGAGAGAGAGAGAGAGAGAGAAGAGAGAGAGAGAGAGAGAGAGAGAAGAGAGAGAGGGTGGGGAGAAGAGAGAGAGAGAAGGAGAGAGAGGAGGGGGGAGAGCAAGAGAGAGAGAGAAGAGAGAGAGGAGAGGAGGAGGGAAGAGAGAGAGAAAGAGAGAGAGAGAGAGGGGGGAGAAGAAAGGAAGGAGAGGGGGGGAGGAGAGACAGAGAGAGAGGCAG